TCCTGCTGCTACCCAGCTTCCTCTAGAGCCCTGAGCTGCTCTCCCATGCCCCAGATCTCTGCCCCCACTTCCGGCCCCACCTGCCATCCCCAGTAGCTGCCCCAGGTGACTTGGCCCAGGCCTAGGACACAGGCAGACTATAAATGCCCCTCCCTGGAGCCGGCTCTTGAGCAATTAGTAATCCACCCCCCTTGGGGTAGTGGAGGCTGACTGGGCAGTTTCAGCCCAAGCCTCATGGGATGATAGCAAGGACAGGCTGGGGCAATACTAACTTCCCTTCCCCCCACCACCATGCTGGGTGAGATCCACAGACCTTACCCCCAACACAGCAGGGCCCTAGTGTACCCCCCTGCCCCTGACTAGTTCGACCACACTGTCCCCTGCCAGCCTGTGCTGAACCCTTGCTGGTTGGCTCAGTACCAGGGCCTGGTCTGGATTGGCCCCCACCCCTGGACGGGCCCTGCAGGCCTGGCTGCCTGATCTCAGCCAAAGGGACCTGGTGCATGAGGACAGACATGGGGGTCCCAGTGGTGTGTGGTCTCCCTGCACATGCCCAATGCAGCTGTCCACCCCACAGCCAGGGGCAGTGCCAGGCTGGGGGCAGGAACCAGGGTTTGGTGGTGGGAGTGAGGGGTACCACAGCGGGCAGGGGGCTACAGGTCGGTGAGGGGCCAGTGGTGAGCAGGGCTGGATGGCCAGGGGGTGCGGTCGGGAGTAAGTGGCAGCGCAGGCGGGGCTGGGGGCGCGGATGTGGCTCAGGCCGGTCGCTGCCTCTTTCCTGCTTCCCACAAAGTCCCCCCCAGCGCCCCCCGAGTGCTGAGTCACGCTGGCTTGACACATGCTGACTCAGGCCCTGTGATTCTGCCCCCCCCCCCGGGCAAGGCTCACACTCCCTCCCACGCGGCCCGGACGCCTGGGTCCCCTCCCTGCCGAAGGGCGTGCAGTGCTGGAGGCCCGGGCTACCGGGTTTTCTCCTGGGCCCGGGAGGATCATTGTCCTCTCCCGCTCGGGTGGGGCAGGGGGCGGGCCGGGCCGGGCTATAAGAGGCGCCGTCTGAGCCCGCGGCCAGAGCCGGCTCTTGCTTCAACAGTGATTGAACGGAGCCTCCTCCCGCCCCAGCACCCCCAGCAACAGGACCTGCATCTGCATCTGCCCGGGTCATGGACTCCCAGGTGCGCCAGAACTACCACCGCGACTGCGAGGCCGCCATCAACCGCATGGTGAACATGGAGCTGTACGCCAGCTATGTCTACATGTCCATGGTGAGCCCCCGCACCCTTCCCTGGGCTTCCAGCCCGACCCCCTGTGCCCCCTAGATCCTCCCCTGGGCTCTGAGATGACCCCCCTAGATCCCCCACCTCTGTGCTCTGAGATCCTCCTGAGCCTTCTGATGCCTCCTGCCCCCTCGGATCCTCCTTGTGCCCTCACCTACCCCCTTGCCTCTGACTAGGGGTGTGGGGGGAAGCAAGGAGACCCCCACCTGCTCCATGGCACTGAACCACGGACCCAGCTGCGCAGAGAAAAGGGGGGAGGGGTCAGAGTCTCATCACACCTCAAGAAACAAGCAGGAGAGAGAGCAAATAAAGGAGTGGTGGAAAACTGCCTGGTGCTGTAGTGTTGTGGGAGGGAGGAAACTTGTGTCCCCTGGACTCCCCCACCAGCCCCTTAGATCCCCACTGTGCCCTGCAATTCCCTCCCCCCCCCAAGAGCCCCCAAATCCC